AGTAAAAATGGGTAGAGAATGCTAAACACTGTCACCCTATTGTCCACGGTGACCTTAGGCTGGCTGAGCTAACTTTACCTGCCTCACCGGTCGGTATTTTACATCTGCGCGTCATGTACTTACCGACCGACTGAACTGGCGGGCTGTTTTGCTGCAATTATTTCAGATCAAAAAGACCATCATCCTCGGCACTGCGTCAAGCACTCACGGACAAGGGGCTAGAAGTCAGCTGATAAATATCTGCTTACATACATTACCTACTTCTACAACCTGCACTGATAGGCCGATTAACCTATAGTATTTCCTCTACTATGTATTGGCGGATTGTGTCCAGTGGGTTTTGGGGTGGTGATGGGGGTACCAACTGCATTATGGGCGAGCCATAATTCTTCACTTCGTGCGCGCAATACGGAGTACAGCAAGCTGCCCTACCTACGTACCTTTACGCACCCTGTCGCGATCCCTTCAATCCGCGCTGTCTACTTACTTTACATATATGGTATATGTGCGACTTGTCGTTTCAAAGACCAGGGGGGTGGCGGTCGCGCCTATTGACCTCGTCCGTCTCTATCGATGGGTGAAGTACTCCGTACTATATACATGGGTATGTAGAGCAGGTGGTGTAGCTTTGAGCCCCGGGCGAGATCAACCCTGTGAAGGACCCCAGTGCCCGCGAGCATGGGGATGGATGCAGTGTACTATGTACGTACTATAGTAGGTACGTGGTGTGCATGCCTACCTAGCCGGGGCACAGCACTCACTTGAAGCTTCGGATGTAACCAGCGTTTGACCCATGTCCAGAGTCTAGAAACTTGACGCCCTGCTGGCGATTGTTCATGTAGCTCTCCCGTTGGGACTTGGATCATGGAACATTTGATCATGAACACAGGCATTTGCGGCCCCGTCTGGAAATGGACCAGGGGGTGAAAGGCGCCAGGTCTCACCAGCCCACACAGCGTGTGAATGCCCGCCCAATCATCATGGCCTTGTCGATCGCTTCATGATCGGCTGGATGTGGACTGTCGAAAGTCCGTATGTATAACAAAATCTCCCCACTCTATATTTGGTTCCTACGTCCTTGCAGTCATCACGTCTGTGTTTCTCTGAACTGGATGACGCACAGGGCGCTCCGGCACTTGACTCTGGCACCGAACCCTGCCCTTTACTCCCAGGTTGCATGTCTTCTGGAGGTTGTCCTGCCAGGGAGGAAACAATACACGCATTCGGTAAATTTCGATTAACCGGTGTATATCTGTCCACCTGGTTGAAATTTTCGCTGTAGCGAGTGACCAGTACGACACGTCCCGTTTCGTCCACCGACTACAATACCGACCACCGGGCTGAGACAACTGTCTGCGTACCGACTGCCAAATGCCCCAACGCAATTTGGTGTGCAAAATTGACACCTAGTTCTTGTACGCGACATAATCACCAACCTGCAGAAGACATTCTCTAAGGGTCACCTTTGTTTGTATGTAGGGGTGTATCTTCGATGTTTCCAGACTCACTGCGCGCCCCACTGGATTACCAGAGTAACATACTTACCTGTGCTGCGATCCCAAGGAAACGGGCTCAAAGCTCATTGGTGATGTTGTTGTGACTGCATTGGATCAGCCAGCTGGACCTTACAGAAACGCAGATTCGCGTTACCCAGATTGACCAGACATGGCACACCGAGGTTGAGCTCGGATGCGATAAATGTGCCCAGCCAGATGTCGTCTGTATAAGCTAAGCACGGTCCATAGTTGAGCTTGGACCGGTTCCTTTTGCTGGCAGTGATAGGTATTCCAGTAGCATGGGGGATTCCAACCGCAAGTAAATAACCCTCGAAGTCACCTTGCCAGCTCACCTACAAGACCGCAAAGGATTGAGCGGGTCAATCGCGGAATAAGGTTGATTGGTGGTTGGGCCGACTTGCAGCTGGCGCACAGGATAGTCCTGCGTCACCTCGAGGTGCATAGGGAAGTATCTGCAGGTCTGGTGCATTGATATGACAGATAGCAGCCCTACCTCTTCAACCTTGTATGCAGCATCCGCTACGGATAGCCATATACAACAGTGTTCAGCCCATTCGGGCCCAGTTCAGCGCCGGAAGCAGAGGTGCTGTTGGAGACAGACGGCCCATGGGTCAAGCCCGGCCGTGTAAGACGGCCGCGTGACAGCCGTTGTCATGCTGCCCAGGTTACAGGCAAAACATTGGATGGAGCCTTGGTTCTAGTACTATGTATTGTCCGTTCTGTGGGTCTGTCGTAGTAATTCCAGTTGTTGGCACTGCATGTCAAGAGGGGGCTTCACGATCTGAAAGATGCATTTGCATCTTGATGTTTGCGCAAGTGGTCTCTTCCAGCATGGCGGACGTCTCAACTTACGCGTCATGCACGCGCTGCCGGTGGTATCTGTATTGTAAAACAAGAGCAGGCCATAATACCACGGGCAAGGCCATTGTCAGGTTGTGCAATCAGGCTTGCACCGGGCATCAGACTCCATTGATGATCATGTTTGTATGCAAGCAATCTTGGGGAAATTTTGAACTGCTGGTGAGGGGGTATCGAAGATCATGCACCAGGCTGTCGACACGTCCGTGGAGGTAGTGTTTAGTTTGCTTCATTCGACCTAAAGCGTAGGTCCAACTGACATGGTGGCACAGGTTTGACTGTTTCTTGTGGCACAAAACATGGATCAGCTGATATCTCGAACTGTTATCAAAATACCTCACAAAACTAGGGCAATAGAGGCAGTGCGGCTCTACAATAACCTTGCAGCCGACGGAGAATGGGGGCATGAATTCCTTGTGGAAAAGGCGGTGGACAAAGGTTGATTCGCATTTTCCGGAAATCATACATACCTCTAGTAGTAATGTGTCCACGGCAGCTGCTGCTGAGCCGTGGTGAGATCCCTCTCCATCGCGTGCAGGGCTCTCAGAGAGGTCTGATTAGGATCAGCAAGATCCTGTACTTGCTGTGTAGTGTCTTGGGGGCCGGGCACGTACGATGAGATTGCCGTGGAAGAATCAGAGCTGTGCAATAGGGTATTAGATAAATCAAAAGAATCCAGTGTCGGAATGGGCAAGAAAATTATATTTATTGAGAAATGAATGCTCCGGAACCATTGCATACACCTGTGCAGCCATTCTTCGTAACTCTGCGATATGCACATTAGTTGTCGTTGATGATTTGACTTCTCGAAAAGGAAGAGAAGAAGACCTAGACAAACAAGTGCTTAGCACAGTATGCGACCCGACAGTTTGGAACGGTGGATACCACTAGTTGGCTTAGCTTGTTTTATGATTGGTTTGAGCTCAAAGGTCCCTGTTAACTCTTCGGGGGCAGGCAATTTCATGTCTACGGCCATCAATTGTACTTTGTCTATGTACAGTACTGATATACATTGTACCTTCTTACAACTTGACCCAGCCCCCCAGCCAGATTATTGCTAGGACCTACTCCAGCTTGCTGTGCGTAATAGTCCTATGAATATCCACATCTTCCTCGCGTGAATTGCCTCTTCCAATTTTTGAAGGCGGGACTTACAATATATCCGTTATTTGATTCAGCAAAATATCGGGGCAGCGGTCTCGTAGCCGACAATAC